TTCACAGTTGAAATAATTGAAGAATATCTGCTCGGTGTCATGAAGGTTCGCGGAATTCGTCTTTTCTTTCTTTTGCATCTGAGCACAGAGACTTCTATTTCTATGATATCAAGCTCCATGTTTAAGTTGGCAGCATCAGGTAAGAATTTTCATCGTCAGTAGTTTTGGTTCATAAAATTAACGTGTGTCTACTCCTCTCAAAACAACGCAACATTTTCAGACAATATAACGAAACATTTTCAGGAAAAAGTTTCATATACTTTTATTGCCTACTTTATTCCTGCCGAATTTTGACACAATTATTCCTTCCCAATTTTACTGTGGTTTAATATTTTATTCTGGTACGTCAAAATAAATCCAATCTTGATTCTGTATTATATATGTATTGACTTTAAGGGCTGGTTTTAATTTAGTCGTAATCGTCAGTAAACAAGCCATCTTCACCAATGCATGTGAAACAGTGCAACTTGAAATTTCTCCCTTTTTTATATATGTATGCAAATTGTCGTTGTCTACTGCAAACACATAGCAATATCCTAATACATCAAACACCTCAACATATGTCCACGGCAATTGCCTATAAATGAAAACCAACCTTAAGATAAGGAAAAAAAGTGGCGAGAGGATTTTGTTCCCAATAAATAACTCATTTTGGTTCTTTTGCCCAATTATTTATATACCAAATAATTTAAATAAGCAATTTTGAGAAACGAATGCAATCATTCTTCACTCATTCTTAATGTAATCAGTAATAGTTCTCTCGTTGATATTTTCATGATATAAATTTCATTTCGCTTCAGGTTACAGCTTGGTTGGTCATGTGATCCACGAATATAGTGCAATGGATGCTTTCCACTGCGCTCAGAAATGCTTGACAAGGCATCCCGCTTGCAAATCGATAAATTTCAATAAAAAAAAACAATCTCATTCCGGCAAGAATTGCGAACTGAACAACGCCGTCAAATCAACATATCCTGAGGAATTTGAACTAATGAGAAACGTGGATTACTATGAGATACTGGAAAAAGTAAGCCATTATCTTGTGAGCCGCTCCCTGTTTTTCACTGTGAGCTGAGAGCTGTGGCGGCAGCTGCCCTTTCTGTCTGTGGTTACGACGTCCCTGGTTACTGTAATAATGAGACACTATTGTGCAATGACACGTTACAATTAGTAACTCGATCCATATATATATAAGGAGCATATAGAGATTGAACAGTCATTCTGGATAGGAACATCATACTGTCATATACTTATAGTACTAGCTAAATAAAGATATATACGAAATATTACATTGGCGACGAGGATGGCTGAAGATGAGCCAGGCACAAACATAAGCGTTCAATCAGTGAACATACCACCGCCGAGCGAGTTTAATCCAGATAGTCTGAAGTTGGCGCAAGTCTTGCTACACGATGGATCACATGGATGGAAGACTTCGAAATGTTTGTAACAGCGAGTGGAATCAAAGACGACACACAGAAACGTGCCTTGTTGCTTTACCAAGCGGGTTCTCGCGTGCGGGAGATTTTTCGTCAGCTGAGCGATACGGGGAACGCGAATGACTATCAAACGGCCAAAGATAAACTACGCGCATATTTCGAGCCTCAGAAAAACCGGCGATACGAAGTGTTTAAATTCCGCCAAGCCAAACAAGAACCAAATGAAACTCTGGATCAGTTTCATACGAGGTTGCGAGTTCTAGCGCAGACCTGTTCTTTCCACGATGCAGACTTTGAGATCGAACAGCAAATAATTATCAGTGGAATCTCATCGCGCATTCGTAAAAAAGCCTTACGTGAGCCTGACTATGATCTAAAACAAATTCTGTTAGATGGTAGGCGTGCGGAACAGAGCGAGTTCCAAGCACGAGATATCGAGTCAAAGGAAGATAAATCGGACAGTATACAACAAGTCCAAGTCAAAACATGTCATAATTGCGGGGGAACATATCCACATCAAGGCCCGTGCCCAGCCAAAGGAAAGGAATGTCGAAAATGCGGCAAATCAAATCATTTCGCGAGAGTTTGTCGTGGCAAACAACAACCAACATCGAAATCTTCATACCCGAGACACAAGCGCAACGACAAGAAGACCAAAACGCCTCTGAACCCAATCCAACAAGCGGAAAGCGATTCGGACAGTACAGAGGACTATCTATACACCATAAACAGTACCAAAAAACCACCTACGGTTCGTGTCAAAATTGGACAGCACAGTTTTGATACTACACTAGATACAGGTGCGTCATTAAACGTAATCGATCGAGCTACCTTTGAACAATTGAACGGAGTACAGCTCAAAGGCACAAATGTTAAAGCATTCGCATATAATGCCCAAACGCCTGTTAAATTCTTGGGGAAATTTGAAGCCCTCATAGAGACACGCAAGCGCGTTACCGTAGCAACCTTTTACGTTGTCAAAACACTAGACAGTGGTAATTTAATCTCAGCTAAAACTGCGCAAGATCTGGGTCTAATCAGTCTCCACATTAACAAACTCTCATCAACTAAGGACAGGAAATTAGATAACATTTTAAAACAACATGCAACTGTTTTCAAGGGTCTGGGAAAATTAAACGATGTAAAAATTAAATTAAACATCGACCAAGAACAACCTCCAAAAATTCAGCCTAACCGACGCATTCCATTTCACATCCGTGATAAGGTAAAAAACGCGTTAGAAGAATTAGAAAAAGACGACGTTATCGAACGAGTGCCTGATAAACAACCCACTCCATGGGTTTCTCCGATTGTGGCCGTGCCCAAAAAGGACGGTGGAGTACGAGTATGCGTAGATATGCGTCAAGCTAATGAAGCAATTAAACGTGTCAGACATCCGATACCTACAGTAGAAGACATTAGCTTAGAGTTAAACGGCGCGAAATATTTTTCAAAGTTGGACTTAGCCCAGGCATACCATCAATTAGAGCTACATGAAGATAGCAGATATATTACAACGTTCAGCACACACGTGGGTCTATTCCGATATAAACGCCTGAATTACGGTACCAACGCGGCTGCCGAGATATTTCAGCATACTCTACAACAGCAATTACAGGGATTAACCGGGGTCAGAAACATTGCTGACGACATTATAATATACGGACAAACTCGAGAAGAGCATGACATTGCTTTAGATAACTGTCTAACACGTCTCCAAGACCGAGGATTTCGACTGAATGAATCTAAATGTCGATTTCTAAGCAACTCCTTAGATTTCTTCGGACAAGTCTTTTCGGAAGCGGGGATTCAGCCAGATCCAAAACGTGTCCACGATTTATTAAACGCACCACGCCCACAGAATGTACATGAAGTGAGAAGCCTTCTCGGGATGGCAAACTATAGCAGTAAGTACATCGCCAACTTTGCTACTATTACTACCCCATTACGTGAACTTACTAAGAAAAACGCGAAGTTCGAATGGAACGACAACCACCAGGAAGCTTTTAATCAATTAACCAGGGCATTAACATCCGCCCAATGCATGGCGTACTTTGACATGCATAAAGATACATTTATCACTGTTGATGCCAGCCCAGTCGGACTGTCTGCGATTCTATCTCAGAGGACACCTGGGCACGATGATGATAAAGTTATATCATATGCCAGTAGAGCTTTAACCGCCGTAGAGACACGCTATTCGCAAACTGAGAAAGAAGCGCTAGCAATCGTATGGGGCGTTGAACATTTCCATTTATACTTATACGGAAAAGAATTCACCCTTATAACCGACCATAAACCACTCGAAGTAATCTACGGTAGTAAATCCGCTAAAGTATCAGCGCGTATCGAACGTTGGATATTACGTTTGCAACCATACATATTCAAAGTTGTGTATAAACCAGGTGCAACGAATCCTGCAGACTACCTGTCACGGCACCCAATTCGGTCAAGCCACAAGCAACAACGACTCACAGAAGAATACGTGAACTTTATAGCTTCCAATAGCATTCCCAAAACCATGACCATAGATGAGGTCATCACCGCTACCAACTCGGATAGAGCGCTACAAGGACTTAGAGCTGCAATCAAACATGATCAATGGAACTGTGATATCGTGAAACCGTATAAACAGATCAAGGACGAACTGACTGTTACGTCACAGGGCCTAGTTCTTCGAGGAACTCGTATTGTCATACCACAGTCTCTGCGACAACGAGCTATTGACATCGCTCATGACACGCACCTCGGGTTATCAAACACTAAGGCGTTGCTGAGAGAAAAGATTTGGTTGATTAAACCTGAGTTTTCCACACCATATTGGCCGCAAGGAAACGCGGAAGCCGAGAGATTCATGCAACCTCTTGGGAAAGCGCTGAAAACAGCACAAATGCAAGGACGGCCTTGGCAGCAAGAGCTTAATCGGTTTTTACTACAGTACCGAACTGCCCCACATTCAACAACTGGTGTCGCTCCTGCAGAGTTATTATTCAATCGAACAGTGAAGGGTAAACTGCCCATCTTAAAGAAACGAAACATACTGAACAAACATAAACAAGCACGTGACAGAGAAGTATCCAAACAACAATACAACAAACAATACGCTGACAACAGACGGAACGCAAAACGTAGTGACATTAAGGTTGGTGACAGTGTATTAGTGCGACAACAACGGAATAACAAACTATCGACAAATTTTAGTAGTGTACCCTATACGGTAATTACAAAAAACAACTCCAGCATTACAGCACGTAATAATAAGGGACACGTCATTACTAGGAATGTTTCACACTTCAAACGAATACCAAATCAACAGAACGTCGCGATCGAAGATGACACTGATGATGAAAGTACCAGTAACAACAACAACCAAAAACAAGTTAGCAACAATCAACCTGAAAGAACTAATAACGAAGACGTTCGCAGATCAAGCCGTGCAAGGAAAGCACCAGAGCGATATGGACACGCCATATCATGGACTTTGCATGTTTGAATTATAGGGACTTTGCATGATAAAACTTCAAAAAGGGAAGTGATGTAATAATGAGACACTATTGTGCAATGACACGTTACAATTAGTAACTCGATCCATATATATATAAGGAGCATATAGAGATTGAACAGTCATTCTGGATAGGAACATCATACTGTCATATACTTATAGTACTAGCTAAATAAAGATATATACGAAATATTACAGTTACTCATATGCAAATACTCATTTCTGCATTGTTGTCATTTTCATATCGGCTGCCGCATTTATAATGACTTCGCAGCTTTTTTTCGCAAGATAATTAATCTCACTGGTCAGTTTGGGCGACTTTACATCAAAAATTGACGCCTTTTTATTGCAGGTGCAAGACAAACGTGATTCAAAGGTCGAAGATTCGTCGAAATACGGTAAGTTACATACTTGGCGCTTTAATACTACATACGTACTTTGCCGAGGGTAAACTTTGCATTTTCCCACATTTTCCCTTAAATTCTCTATGGCGTTTACCTTAGAGAGCTGTGTTCCTTTGTTTTTCTCAAATGTAAAATGTTTCATTTTTGTCCCAATTTCGCAATAATTTCCGAAAACAAAGTTTTCATTTAATTAATCTTGACAGAATAAACATTGTATTCTCTTTCGTCCCGCACATTTTGTCCCGCACTAGAAAGTTTTGTGGAGCCCATGAAATTTCGTGTAACATCAGACTTTACGCGTTTGGTCCATTACACGTTAGAGCGATGATAACCTTTCTGCTGTTTCCATCTGTGAAAATAAGAAAATCACAGCAAAAATTGCAAGTGTAAACGGTGATGGAATGTGACATAAACATTCTATATCTTCTCCAGCCCCCACTTGCCTGCTTAATTGGAAAGAATATAATGGTCATTGCTACTATATCAGTGGTAATGTTACATCATCTTCGTCCACGGCGAGAAAGAGCTGTACTTCACAAGGCGGCGACTTGGCTGTGCCAACAAACGCAGAAGAAAATAGATTCATCTTCAATGAGATAAAAAATCCAAATGCTCGTGACCCATATATTGGTCTGTTCAGAGTTGACGGGGAAAACAAGTTTAAAACTGTCTACGGAGCTGAACCATCCTACAAAAATTGGGGTAGTGGCGAACCGAATGATTACAAGGGAAATGAAGATTGTGTCGCCTTGCGCATCAACGACGGAAAATGGAATGACGTAAATTGTTTCAGTCCCAGGCATTTTGTTTGCGTAATCAACGTCAAATAATACGAAACACTGGCAAAACACTTGAAATACAAATGGGCACGCAAATTCTAACAATGTATTAAAACTTTGTGTTTTGGTATTAAACTGGATAACTAGCGATTTTAGATTATTCAAGATGCAGGTTTTACAAGTTATCTATCCGTCCTGTATTGAGTCATGAAACGTTGTAAAAGTTATTCACAATGTACGTACAGTCTCGTACCAAGGCTCTTTAATAGTAAAATATATAACGTTTCCTTCAGTTATTGTAAAGAGGTCAGCTGAAAAAAGCCGAGTGTGCGGGGTGCTTAGGGTGGTTTCGGCAAAGTTAGCGCCTGGCGGAAAATAATTTCAACATGTAAACATCCAAGTGAATATAATGCAATACAATATAATCATGTGATATAATTACATGAATTAAATTCAGATTTTTACAGGTAGGTGTTATAGGTTGAATAATATTGAACATTAATTTTCATGTTATTTCACATTAATTTTCAAAATTATATCCGATAAGTAGCACGTTACTTTTGAATTCAAATTGTCGCTATTTCTCGTTGAATTTATCGTCAGATTATTGAACTTGTAAACAAGTGAATATGAGTATCTTTTTGTCGTGAATAGAAACCATTTAATATGTTGTAAATGCGTTCGCTTCAGGCACAGATCCAGCCAAAATCTGACCGTGTGATTTCGGAGAAATTTTTCGGTGGCGGGGGGGTAGCAAGGGGCTATGGACCCTGGAAAATTTTTAAATTCTAAACTCCGAAGTAAAATTTTCTGAGCTTTAGTTCTACCAGCGAAAAACATGACGAGAAATTTCGACGGATTCATGTACTAATGCATTCGATTCAGCCAGGATGCAGCGAACAGACCAATTTAACGTGTTATGTATATATAAACTATATACTAGTTCGAAGTCGAGAAGTATCGAACTTTATTGTTAATTATGCCGCTTATTGCGCAATCAAAAACAGGCCACCGTGTCGCACCGTGGCTCACGTGGCAAAAGCTTACCCTGTGATTGGTTTGCTACACTGCACCGTGTCGAAACGTTACTATATTTAGTAACAATTGCATAATAATCTGCACGCTGACCGTGTCAACTAGTTGATGTGATCGCAGCTTGGAATGCACGACTCGCTTCCGAATATACTCGGCAAAATTCGGCAAGCTTTCGGCGAATTTTATGGTTCAGTGTCAACTGAACAATCATACTATGAAACAAGGAATAATAATTGGGAATTTGTTCCCACTTTTAGCAAGACTTGGTAATAATATGACAACGATTACGAAAGATATTACTCAAGTTATTTGCTTTAGACATATATTTGCTCAATTTTGGTGTAATTCAAAGATAAATAAATAATGTGTGAATATTAGATTGCATTTCGTATCCAAAAAGATGAAACTGAAATATTCTAGAAGGGAGAATCTGACCGTGTCTCGAGCCACGTTCAATAGTATATGTAAATACGGCAGGCAATTTTTCGAGGACTCAAACGGAAAATATTTTAAATTTAAATAAAAGTACATAGCCTACCTTCTGATGATTCTTCGCCAAAGGAAACATTCGTAATACTTGGCTAGCCCATCCACGGTCGATTCCAGTAAAAAATTATTTGTACGAGGTTGATGTATGTACATAGCAATATACTGATTGTATATATTTAATTGCAAACCGTTTTTTCGTTTAATAAGGTTATAAAGTCGTTATACCGACACATGAAAAAATATCGGCGGGGTCTTCTAAAATTACCTCTATGGAGCTGTCTATTACAGTAAAAATTGCCCGATTCGGCGAATTAAAAACCAAAACAAAGCCACGGTTCCTTAGTTACAATTTCTGTTTCAGGGGCATAGCGTTAGGGACAAGGTTCACGAGGTTCCATCTGGGTTGGCGTAAAACGTAACGAAACATTTTGCATAGCAAATTTTACTGCTCTAGATCCCCCAAAATATTAAGCATTTCAGAGTTATGACAAAGTGCCCCTCATAAAAATTTCATTAGAGGTGCATGTTTTACTGCATACAGTTTAGCTAAATACTATTTTTTTCCAATACAGGCATTTTATCTCATTTATTTAAGGTTTGGGGGACTAAAAAATTATGCAGGGGTCTCAAAATGTAAACCGCTGGAAGTTCCCAATGTTTCAAAGATAATTAATCTTTATAATTTATAGTATAGTAAAATACATGTACGTGCAGCTCCCCTCGCCATTCTCAACCAATAAATAATCTCCTGTCTATAATAGTTTGTCTATAACTATAAGTTTATGACTCAATGGCAAAGCATCGATTGCCATCATTTTTATCCGATTTGATACAAAATATAGTCATCACATTGGAGTTGATGTCACCTATTCAACATGCAGGCGTTTTATATACCCTACAGCTTAGGTAAAGCCTGGCTTTCATATGTCCTAAATCACCAGCGAAGGCTATTGTCGGTGCTCATTGATGAAAAAAATCCTTTGTCTAGCGAAGAAAATTAGTATATACTTCATTGATCATCGACCATAGATCGTAGAACATCGCCGATGAATTACAAAAAATATGAAAACCAGGATTAACTCTTATTATTTCAAAAAAACATCAGAGGCTTCAGAAAAATATAAAACAGTACAAAATCATCAAAAACAGAACCTCAAATATTCTTCGAATATAATTATATGCCGTTGACTGTAAAAGCTTTGATTTTGAAGAGACATTCTTTTTCAGGTTAAAGCGATGGTGTAAAAGCCTTTTATAGCCGATTATGACTTTGGAAAACGACGTATCAATTGCTCATATATAAATAAACTGCATCCGTCCTCTAAAGCCAGAAAACACAGAATATTATAAAATACAACTATACTTTAGTCAAGTGCCGGTTTAAAACATTTAGAGAGTATAAATCGTTTCTTTTCCGCTTTTAATTTTTAAAGAGCAACCCTTTTTGTTTTGATAAACGTTTCCTGACGATTTTCATTCGATAGCTATGAGCCTATGTCATTATTTTTCGCATTCAGCTATTTTGAGTAATTTTTAATTAAAAACAGTTTGAGGCCCTCTTTGCCGGGTTGAATCGCGAGAGGCGAGATCCAACTTCCTAAGTTGTTCCTATATGTTTTTGGAACTTTGATTCAAATTTAAAGCGGGCCAGCTCACTTTTACGAGATCTCGCTTGAGCGAAGCGAGATCTCGGCAATAACCAGCTCATATGAAGGCACTAGGCGGTTTAACGCACTGAAAATCGTTGATCGCTCTCTCTACAAATATGCCATCATAGCATCATTTCTCCATTATATATGTATTTTGCAAAGCAAAAGAATACCATGCATTTGTAAAATTAGCGAAAAAAATCCAACCAAAACTACTGTAACCGATGCAAGAACATTTTTCCAATTGTGTAAACAGCAAATTGTATTTCTCGCTAAACTGCGCATCAGCGAAATATGCAACGCTACCGGGCCAGTACGGCAAATGTGGCCAAAGCGAGCGGGCTAGCCCGGTTGATATAAACAGGTCTTTAGGAAATATTTACCGTTAAATTGCTGACGTTATTAATGAAATACAAATTCAAATTTCTGACAAAGCCAATGAATAATTTCGTCATCCTTTTTTCGTCACCCCGTTGAAGTATATATATATATATATATATATATATATATATATATATATATGCAGTTAATTTCATCATCCCTTTTATACAACCGCAACTGAAATCGACCTACCCGTTTGACAAGCATGACTTTCCGTCTGCCGAAATTTGCGTTCCATGCAATGTTTGTTTGCCAAATAATTATGAAAATATATTGCACCAATTTGTCGTTTCCACAGGGAATCCTGCCAAACGTACAAAATATTTGGAGGTGCCGTATGTTCTGGGACAGACTTTTTTTAGTGTTTGAATTTTCTAGAAAGGCCTGGGCCAGTAAAGTAAGCATAATATAGTCGTTAGAGAATTTTTGCGAAGAAGCGAATGTCAAACTGATGAGTGGCGACAGCTGGAAAAAATCAAAATCTAATTCTACGGAAACTTAATTATGGTTTGCATGAATTATGGAATTATGTTCACTTGTATCAAATCCACGAGGCGGAAGCGAAGGAAAACTGCTATCTTCATTTTCATCTTAAATGATCATCTTACAGCGCAATGGAGTAATTTTTAAATTAGCGTCTTTTCAAATACGCGCGTAAGATCGGGATGTCTTTCCACATCACGTCCCGATGAACATTTGCATGATAATTATGTAAACACAGTAAAATATTGCTTATTGTCCGCGGGAAAAAAATTACATCATAAGCCGAAACTGACAATCGATTGACTTCACAACTAGCTATATAAAGATAGCAGCAAAATATCTTATAATTTAATTGTGAAGCTTTGTATAGAAAGACGTCTTGATTAACAGCAAACAAATCATATACTAGCCGTACGAAAATAATACATAATTCAACTGGCAATTTTCTGGCTCGGAGCCGACATTTTGCAAACTAAATTTGGTTTGCAGGTGAGAGAAAGTAATATTTTTTTTCAATTTTAGGCCTTATTTTTATGCGGATAAATGTGGCTCCTAAGAACAGTAATGGTAAATGTTGCTTAATTCTGTATTCAATTTGTATGGGCACAATTTCAGTTCTCATATGTTACCTACAGTATTCACTAAGAATGAAGTACTTTGTTTATAATAAATTTCCTTGGTCTCAGGTACGAGTAAAGTATATCTTAATTGGGTGACATTATTATATGAACTATAGGCTCAATTTTGTCTGTGCGTGCGTGTGTTTGAAGACAATAACAGAAGAATAATTAGGACACCTATGTTAACAAGGCTTCCGACAAGTACGCTTCATATTTGAATAAATTCAAAATGCTATTGGCTGATTGGGTGTTTTAAGTAATACGAAACTATAACTTGTCTGCATTAGTTTATTAGGCGCGGCTGCTCGCCAAAGAGTTACAGCTGGTATAGCTATGTTATGTTCCCAAAATTTTGTGTTCAATATAAAAGTGAAATCCTTACCTTGAGATCAGTATCATTGCGGTAAGAAATGTTTCAATGTCACTATAATAATAATGTTCATGTATATATGTTCTGATGTTCATATAAATCGTAGAAGTAAAGCAACGTACACCGATATAATTTATACTGTAATTTAATAGTTGAATTTTTCATTATATGAAATACTATAGAAAATATAATGAGATCTACAATTCACGAAAGCCTTTAAGCATCGAATAAATGGATAAATATGACGCGGACCTAAGAATAACTATATAAAGTTTCCCATGCATGCATGCCCATTCACGAATGAAAAACTGAAAGAGGATATTAAAGCCCAAAAAATATAACAATACCACAATTTAAGTTTATGTAATGGCAGTTATTTTTTCCATTTACGTAGCTACATAATCGTGTTCACAACTACCAATCGTCTTCATAACTACCATTAATTCATTTATTCAGTCATATAGACTCTGAACATATAGACTACAAGATATTCATGTTATATCATCATATACCCTTGGAATTGAATTTTAGACCCAGTTTATTCCTCGTTTTTTATACAAATTAAACGTAGAGATAGTCATTTGCATGAGCACAAGGAGCCGAAACTTAAAAATTTTGCATATCCAAACAAGCGTCGGGCCGATCCGTTGGGAAAAATGAAATTTAAGTCACAGATGCACCGGCTGCAATTTAGCATCATGGTGAGAATTCTCTGGACAGCGATGAGTTTTTCCTACATAATATTATAGGTGTTATAATTATGATGTGGATTTAATGCTCCTTTAGCATTTATTTATATTCTTTAGAGGGATACTATTAGTATTAGTGTTTCTCCAGCCAGCAGGAAATTCAGACGATGACAATATTCAAGTTCGGCTAAAGGGAGATCGGAATAAAACAAGATAAGGGGCGGGTTGTATAAAACATATTGAACCACATTTTGGATAGTTTATTCTATAGTAACTCAAAAATGCACGACTCTGATCGGGCAATTCTGTCCTTAGCTACATAACATTGTTTGTTTGCAGAACATTCCTGTGCAATTTACAACGTGTCGCTAGACATAAGTCCAATATTTGTTTCTCAAGTACCATGCAGTGTTAAGTTCATATCGTGCCATGATTAAAACATGCTATATATATTCAGAAGTATCTCAACATTTGCACAAGTTGAACACTAATGATTAGTAGTAGTGGTTTAACATCGAAAGAAGAAAATAATTATAGCTATCCTAGCTTAAAATTTTAATTTTGCAAGCCTATGTTGGTCAGTACCCATTGTGACTTCAGAAAATGTTGTCCAGATGTTCGCCTTCTTTCGTTCCGTATTGAAGACATTATAGGCCTATATATAGTTAATATGATATTAGTTTAGGTACGCGCATGCAGTTAATAATTTTGCTAGTACTCGCTGCGGGACAAAAAATGTATTTGTTACAAATACATTTTATACATTGTATTTGAGAGTCTATAATCTCCTTTGTTGCTTATAATATATATGCATGCAGGAGAAAACTAGTGATGTTTACTCACTTTTAATTATGACTATACTTGCACAAAAAAAATAATTAAAAGTCATTATACTCACGATTGAGGAAATTGCGATCGGAAAAGTTTGACTTATGTAAATGTTAAGAGGGATGATTGTGTTACAGGTGCAAATTTGTGTATATCTTACTCTTCGTTGTTTTTATGTTTCGTTCAATTTTTTTTTTCAGAATATAATTCAGGCTCTTCTTATAATAGTGTATGTTTCTGTTAAATTTTGAATGTTGTTCTATACATAACTTCCTATCTATCATCATGCATCAAACTCAGGACGTACATTATATTATATATATAGACGATGTAATAATAAGTGTCGTTCTATGCAACTTTAATTAAGGACATCTATATGACATGCAACTTTAATTAAGACACCGATACCTATTTTTGGTCTATATAATTGAGGAACCTTAGCTGTTCTCCTTGATTCTAATTCGAAAAGGTTATTGGTAAACGGTTTTTTACAATGAGCTATAGGCAGCCGTGCTAAGCGCGAGTATAAATTTCGTGTCTTATATATTATCCGCATAAGATTTGTAAAAAAATTCTGGATTTACAGCTGCATTACTTTAACAGTATACCGCTGCTAATTCTTCCTTTTTGGAAATTGCAGCAGACGGTTTATAAATTTTATTTATTCTCAAGGCTAAAGATGATATTTATTCAGACACAGAAACAGCTTAATAATTATAGTAGATCTATAGGGTAGTTAGGTATAGTTCGCGAACGTTTTCAAATAATACAAAATGCACGCTACAGTATTCTACCTACATGGCTAAAGGATATATGGGAACATAGGGTGGAAAATGTTATCTATATAGCTGTATTATATCTATGTATTTATGCCAAATCAACAGATTGCTTTCTTCTGCAAAAAACGGTAGTTATTATTCTTTTGGTATATCTTTTTAATTTAGACAGTAAGGTGTTAAAACGTTTCCAAGCATTTCCTATAAAATTAAGATATCTTTTTAAATGCAACAATAGCTTCGAAAAGTTTTTAGATTATGTTTATATGTTAAATTTATTTCATATTTCTTTTCAGATTTCTAGTTTAAACATAATCAACGATCCTCGCCATGAATGTTTACAAAGTTCTTCAATTGTATTTGTTACAGTTGTGCACATATACGTCCAGTTCTACGATATCTTCTGCCGTATTCAAATTAACCGCTTCAGGTAGGCAATACGCAATTAATTTTCTCCTTATTACATACAGCTTAAGTTATTGTTGGACCAGGAACTGGTCCCTAACCGCTGCTAATCTTCTTCTTTTTCTTTTTCTTCTTCTTCTTCTTCTTCTTCTTCTTCTTCTTCTTCTTCTTCTTCTTCTTCTTCTTCTTGTTGTTAGGGGGCGACACCCTTAAAAAAAACCCTAAGGCTCTATAGCATTACTTGTTTGATCGGAATGAAACTTGGCACAATTACTCTATATAAGCAATATTCCGCATCGATTGACGGAGTTCGAATTTTTACTTTTGACCTTTGAAGCAAGTTACAAGCAATTCTTGATATATTTGCAGCAAATAATATATACATATCATTAACATTCAGCCTATATATAAGTAAACGGAAACGATTAGAAATACATTGTCCTCTCCATTGTTATAAATACAATGCAGTTCAGAAATTAAACTCGGTTACGCAGTTCCTGGTCCACTATAGTACCATCGTACTTGTTTAGATAATAACGACAGTTTTGGCAAGATATTGTAACTGTTCATCCTTTTTGACTCCTACGAGGCAAGTGTGAAATTTTGGCGACCGATAACTTTGAATACACCATGTTGGCTCGTGCGAGACATTGCAACTTTTGACCACTAGAAAAGGCACTGCCGCCAGTTATTCCGATTTGAATACACCATGTTGGCTCGTGCGAGACATTGCAACTTTTGACCACTAGATAGATAAAATAGATTGTGTATCTCGATCAGCTTATGTTTCATGCATCGCTGAGACACTTTAAATCATGAAGGTGTACCGCCTATAAGAATGTCTATACATATTGAGCTTTATAACCATTGATCATCAGTGATCAGAATGTTTGCAGAGTTCCTTGACTTTGCTTTGTTTCATACTGATAGTTATAGAGTCTAATGGAGAAATCAGGGCGGCCTAAAGAGAGGGACAAAAAAGACAGTTTGCACATGTTGAGACCGCCCTTAGGAAATTAATATTTACAGTCCTTATTTCCAATACATAAGACTATGGGTTTTTATATAATTCAGACAGGTAATTATATTACGTTCAATTGCGGAAATGTGAAATTTTATAATCATTATATTCAAAAATTTAAAAGCCTCTTTCAAAACCTGCAAAACAAGAGAACTATATATATGCCAGTAAACATGCAAGGCTATCCGCTAGCAAAGTTATGGGTATAAGTATACCCATAATATCTATTAAATAGATATAACTATCTGTATGCTAGCTAATACACCATAAAGTATACCCATAACTTTGCTGTTTCTGTCAGTTCTTTTTGCTGGGGGAATTTGGCCTGAACCCCTATAAGGTTCTGACTCAGTGCAGTGCATTTATGTGTTTTGAGGAACTATGAATGGAAATAATTCAATTTCCGGCGACTTGATATTCAGATTGCCTTTCTTATCGCACGTTTCTCAAAAAAATGTCACGGTTTTACAATCGACAGCCTTGAGTATACTAGTATTCCTTTTGTGCTATCAATCAATTTGTTTTAATAGCTGAAACTTGCATGTATCTGTGACGAAAGTGTTTTTAATTATTAAAATTTGGAGACGTTGTTTTAAATGTGTGAATTTTCAGCTATATAATTCATGTTGTATTCCATATTAAATGAATATTTGGGGAAAATCCTGAATCGGGCCTGTCAGCGCTTATACATCTAAACGCTTACAAGTTTTTTTGCATACTTACTTGTTATATTTTAATATCTTCTTTGAATGCCAGCTCTTCGATAAAAATTTGATTTACACTGAGGTTATTGGATGTCATTCTGAATATAAGTTTGTGAAAAAATGTCAAATGGCAGGAATAGCAAATATACGAAGCTGTTTAACTTTTGCATATATAACATGGGAGAAAAAGGAATGTTTGTGCTGGAATGTCAAGTAAAAACAAAATCCCTCCCTCGCTAAAAGAAATGCGTTTACCCAATAGTTCCTTGTGTGTCAGACATTTATCTGTTAGGCAGTAATGCTTTGCACTTTTAACCGTGTATATTTTCGTTTTTCTTCCTGCATGGCCTTTTTATAGTTCCAGGCTGTTTAATTTTTACGCAAAAAATTCCTTCCACAAAAAAAAATGTCGTATAAAATTGTCATTAAATTCTATTTTCAATTGGAATAAGAAAAACGCGAATTAGTTTTCCCCTTTTCTCACAAATGTCTATTTTCTTTCTTCTTTTAACAGATACTACACTTGCTGGTCACGTCTTTCGCAAATGCCGCGCACTGACTGCTCTAGACTGTGCTCATGAATGCTTGGCTGAGCGTCCCGCTTGCAAATCGATAAATTTTATAACTAGGAAACAAGCTGATTCTGTCATGAATTGTGAACTGAATAACGCCACAAAGTCAGCACATCCCATTAAACTTTATTTGGCGAAAAACGTCAATTATTACGAGATAATTGAAAAGGTACGACATTTTGGTAACTTTTGTCGCTCTGAATATCGTCTGTTTGTGAGCCAGTAAAATCGTGCTGATGCTTGGATTTCCGCCATGCCAGATGGCCCAGATGGTTATCTGCGGATTCGCATGCTTTAAGTTCGCACATATAACCTTCCAACACATAGAAACGCTGTAGTTGGTTTATGTAGTTTAAACCCGAAAAACTAATTTTGGATTTGAGGGTTAAACTCGTAAGAGCAGCCGATTAGTGTTAGCTACTTCAAGTAATTTGGAATAAAATTCTCAGTAATTTCTCGCCATTGGCTAAGAAATGGAACATTCTTAATTAGTTTTCCTTCTGTATTTCGATGAAAGCAGAAGACTTTATATCTACCTTTCATCGCTTAGGTCAATGCGATTTAGATTTTTAAAAAATTCTACCGTACAGTCATGCATGCCAATAGAAGCGTTCCGAAAATTGTTGATCAGTTCATTTCCTAACTTGAAGAAACTGTCCTGATAAGTTCCTCAAAATGTTGTTCAGGAAATCTGAAACTTATTCATCACAATAATTAGCCAATATATTTAAGCTGATATCACTATTGACAAATCAAATCAAATTCGCTGGATTTCTCAAACAAATAAGTCTAATTGGCAAGACGTTCAACAAAAAATAGTATAGCAATAGGAAAATACCATCAATAAGAAAATAATTTCAACATAGGAAGAAAACCAAACGAAAGTTCCCAAATTGCATCTTGGTCGCGGACAATAATAAATGAAATGAAAACGTGTCGCGACACATCGCATTAATTTCGAACGGAAAAGTCTAGTATGTATAGAGAGGAACGGAGGTCAAGGCGTAATTTGGGTGCATCAGGGTGTCAAGTGACGGGGGGGGGCGACAAAAATTATTACAAGAAACTGATAACACACAACGGACATGTAGGCATCCCATTAATTCACCATATTGACATGCAATCCTTTGTCGGCCATCGACGGTGATCATCTCATTGTCATTATTGTCTAAACATCTTAATAGGCCGCATTGTTTTTCTTTAGAGAAGAACTACAGGCGCGAGTGTTTCATCAGTGCAGAATGGTAGGTTCGAGTTTTTGTGTTAGTTTTTACATCATATGGCACTTTTTGATCTAACCAAACGAGCAGCAGGTTATTTGGAGCTCTTATAGGCAATTAAAGTTTAACATATGAAACGTCTTTGCTTTTCAAACATTTGAGGGCAAAGCTTAGGGTATGCCATCAATAATTTTCTATATCGTGACGCAACGTATACGAATAGATAAAAGCAATGATGATAATGGTGGTAATGTTCAGTATCTAATTAATTTCTATATTGTGAAGTAGTCTAAAAAGGTTTTAAACCTTTCCTCTTATGGCTGTTTCCAACTAACTGTGGTCACTTAACATCAATCTTCATTAGCCCATTAATGGGCTTGAGCTTGAGCAGTAACTACGAGTACGACTACGAGTAAAAGATTGCCATTTTACAAATCAGACTTCGACAAAAATATCCCGCCTTCAAAATAGGGGCACTATATCAAACAGAAACAGTTATTCATATTTAGTATTATATTAGCAATAGTGCTACGTTATGTTGTGTTGCGACTTTACGATAATATCTCCTGCATGTGGATAAATAAGAAACAACAGATTAGAAAAAGCCACTGTTATATATTTCTTATTTATCGTATAAATACGAGAGTTTAGCCTCACTTAATATACAATCTTCGTGCTTTGGCCTCAATCTACTCATGCGACTGGTCAAAATCAATCACGTGGTTTCTTGTTGCCTGGCGACAGATCATGGGAATCAAAATTTATTCGCAATAATTCTTGCAAAATCGCACTTTATTCGTAATAACCCATTCGAATCGTGGTTTATTCGCAATAACCAATAAAAATCATGGTCGATTCAAAAACGACAGTCTACAACGAAGCTTAGTTCTTCAATGCAGTAATCAATCCACTCAGATTGTATATTAAAAGTCCTATGTTCGTGTGTGGCCTCGATTTCATTGTATGGTCAGTAAGTGCGTTTATTTGTGAACAAAACACTCACAACAGTCTATAACCCTTAAATGTCAGACATATACAATGCATAAGAATTTCTGATTACCCCTCTGAGCGATAGAAACGTAATCCTTGTAAACAAGGCAATGTGACATTATGTTTCACAATCAACTACAGAAAATGTACCACCAGGATTAATTTCATTTTAGCAATCGGGACGTTCCATGCAAATTTCACAAATCTTGGTGCTTCTGGCCGCCTTGGTCCTCAATCGCTTGGTTCTGAATATTTGAGTAAAGACAATGAAAACATGGTGACTGTTAAGGAAGGGATACAGTTCTGGACAGTTCCGTGGACTGGTACATACGAAATCACTGCAGTTGGTGCAGCAGGGGGGAAGGATAAGTACGGGTTGCCTGGAGGTCGAGGAGCGAACATGAAAGGAGAATTTGATCTTAAAAAAGGGGATGTGATTAAAATATTGGTTGGACAAGAGGGTGCTAAAACTGATCTTATTGGTGGTGGAGGAGGAGGAACATTTGTTGCGACAATAACTAACACGCCAATGATCGTTGCTGGTGGTGGAGGTGGTGCTCAAGGTCTTAATAACCAGTTGTTAAACTGCGACGCAAGTACAGAGACAACAGGAAAGAGTAATGCGTGTTCCCCCGGAAGTTCCTGTTCCATTTGGGCTGGTGGTGCTAATGGAACTGGCGCTTTGTATGGTGATGCCAAATCAGGTAAATGATTCTCAAAATTCTATCTTCACTATTACATTACGGGATGTTTGACAAGGCCGATAGCTTACTAATGCAAGAAAATACTGTAGTGCATCTATATGTCAAAAACGTCAAAAGTACAGACAAAAAACCTGACACCATTTCCCTCAATATTCCTGTGGCTATAATTTCTTATTCATGGCCAGAAATATCGGGCATAATTAACATACGGTGTCAAACTATATCCGCGTGAATAAACAGTATTTTCATAGCTTACTAACACTCACACTTAACGAGTGGGCGCGTATTCGAGTGAAACTCAGCAGTCAATGAGGTCCCCTTGGAAATCACTGCGTGGATTTGCGCACCCAACCTCAGCCGATGGCCAGAAATGTAGGCTAACATGTCCGCCAAGCATGCGCGATTTAGCGCTAATTTAGTAGTCCAATATGGAGTCCCCTCAAAAAAAACAGTGGGAAATCAATAAAATGTGCTTTCTATTCAACCCACAATTGAGAAGTCATGTTTGTCCACGTCCAAAACATCATCTATTTTATCGATCTTTAACCACTGAAAATTTGAGGACATATATATATAAATATTCCGGATATTAGATACCTTACAATTCACATTTCTGCTCGTAGCGGAAAATGTGAAAAATGAAAAATTACATACATGAAAAATGTGTTCCTCATCTCGATGAGCAATGTTTCATAAGTATTTGAATTAAGTCGCATCGCTGCCATCGGTAAGACGGTCAATTTTTATTTAATGATATCTACGCTGTTAATATTTATAACCGTGTTTGTTTATATTCAGACTGTATGTGTATTAGATTGTGTAGTTGATTGATAAAATAAAAACAATTGCCATATTGTCTTTATCAAACTGAACGATATTGATCTGAATAATGAACTGAAAATCGAACCACATGAGCCCACAATTGAGCCCACACACCTCACCGCTTATCGGCCTGCATATCTGGCTCAGTGATCTGAACATGTCAATAAATTCAAAGCCTTTTCACCGTGGGTTGGAGTATCATTGAAAGAATATTAGGATACCTATATTAACATGCGCCTACAGAGACGCATTTCTCAGTTCCATATGATGGCTAAATCAGAGGCAAATCTATTTGCGATAATGGGAGGTATTGTATATATGTAGCACCCATCGCCATTTCGAACCAAGAAAATAATCTCCTGGTCCTAGCTATAACTATAAGTTTATATCATGGCATGACTCAAAGAAAAGCGTTGATAGTATAGGTATAAGTATACAGGGATGGTAACATGATAGTTTAAAAATTTAAGTGGGTTGGGGGGTACGTGCAGGGTACGAGGTATGTGAGAAAGCACTATCAAATTATTTTTCTGGAAGTGAAAGCATTGTAGTCATTGCTACTCGCAACGGCCGCATATTACTGCCGTATATTTTCAATATTTATCTTCATATTTTTGTGAAAAAAAGGCAAAAATACCACAAGATTCTTGCCTTGCTAAAGTTTCTCATCTATATAGTATCTATTATTAGCTACAACAGCTCCAAAGAGATACGATTTTCTATCGCGGGAAATTTTTCAAAATGGCGTAAGCAAATTTAAGTGTGAGTCTAATTTCTGACGCTGAATTAGTGCAGAAAAGAGAGCATTTGTTAAATAAAAACACAGTGAAAATTAAAAAATACGCAAAAGAGAATGTTTAATTGAAATGTATTTGAAGGCTTGCAATGCGGAAAAGTACGAAGAATGGACAACTTTCAACGACGAAAAGCTGGACGGTCTGATGGTGAAGTTTTGGTTCAGTTTTTCCATAATTAGCTTCATTTTCATGTTGCGCGAAGGCGCGGTTACTAAGTTTCGCATTTGGTCTAAAAATATGTCAATCACCCACTTAAGTTTAAAAAACTGACGACGGCACTAAATGTCATTAGAAATTGTTGATAATTATATAAAAAAGTAGTGGCATTTCCGCACATTTTGTGACTGGTTGGTTCAAGCCCCTAGTTCGGCAGTATTAAGCTGTCTTCCTTGTAACCCAGGTCTATAGTTTGGTCTCAAACTCTCAGAGTATGATTATTTTCGCTTTATTAGCATTACTTTATCAACTAACGTAACAACATAATTTATTAGAAATATGTAATTACGTATTCTAGGTGGCGGTGGTGGTGGGTTTTACAGCAATGGGACAAGCGGTGAAAGTGGAGGTGGAAAAGGATTTATTCTAGGCGGAGAAGGGGGTTTATCAAATAAATATCCTCATCCTCACGGTGGTTTTGGAGGAGGAGGAGCGGGAGTTGGAGGAGGATCGGGAGGAGGAGGAGGGGGAGGATATTCAGGAGGAGCGCCGGGTCCTTCGGTTTGGGATTCTTGTGGAGGAGGTGGTGGATCTTTTAATGGTGGAAAGGAACAGGTGAACAAAGAAGGATATCGCGAGAGTGGGCATGGTTTTGTTGAAATTAAACTTTTAAATTAGGTTTAGCCTGAAGGATAGGTAAATCAAATTCAATTGTGTGTAACTGAAGGATGCATAAATTAAATTTAATTGTGTGTAATTGAAAATCAGGGGCCGGTTGTACTAATTTTGCATAGTTAAATCTTATTTAACTCAGACACACACGACTCTGATTGGCTAATTCTACACTGAACTACAGTTAAAAATTAACTAGTCTTCTATACAACTGGCCCCAGGTCCAAAAATGTATCCTAGTCTTTTAGAAACTATATTCAATCTATTTAGGCGAATAATGCTCAAATATTACATATGAAGCGAGCATTAGATTGTATCCTATATGATTTACATAAATGATATATTCAGTGTATACAACGTGTCAAGTATTATCGTGAAAATTAAAGGTATAAATGAAGTAATCTGTACATTTATTTTTTATATGTAATTGCACAGCAAATGTCGCTTTCTTATTTTGAGAAAAAAAACTCATTTCAAGATTATTATCTGTGGGCTGACTACTTTCTTATTTTAAAAAATTACTTTCTAAACGAGATTTTATATTCTAGAGTTAAAAAAAAATTCTCAGTTTAAGAAAAATTTTCTTTACATAAGAAACAAATTCTTAAGATAAGATATATTTTCTCGATAAGAAAATGATTTTTGCTGTTTGGATATAGGATAATGAAATTATACTGTACCTAACACTGTGGTTGCGTAGTTCTGTTGCGGTTTGGGCGCGATTCGGTTTCGGTCGACCGATAGAGACCGCAGACGACCACAAGGGAAAATTCCGCTTTCGAAAGGAATGTTATAAACAGCTGAGAACAATAACACAATAATCATATCGAAATCATCTTAAGGCCAAGGTTAAACCTTCATCTCACCGAGATTCGACCTAGGTTAACCGCGGTTTTTGTTAGGTTATTTTTGGAGAGCACTGTAATTCATTTTGTTAGAATTGTTTTGTTTATGTTTTCTCAAGCTTCTTCGCAGTCACTAAAACGTTCCTGTAAAGCCTGATTTTAGCGAACCATCCAGTTTTTGTTCAGGTCCAGTGGATCTGCCCAAATTTATTACTTGGCTGACCCCACACGAATTTCGAAATATATGAGTAATGAGAAAACAATAGAAAGATCCCATCCAAGGTAGAGCCCAAGCAGTTTATGATGTTCCACAACAACTGCCTAAAGCACAGCAAGAATCGCCTCATGACCTGACCGAGCCTGAGGAAGAAACGAGGTACGCATTCAATAATTCAGATTATTATATGACTAGAATAGTTCATCGGTCCATCAACTAAAATCAAGCATTCTGATTGGTAATCGTTTTTAGTCATATAATAAATAGTTTATTGACTAAGCTTGTTCGGTCCGTACAGAAGGATACTGGTCTCGTTCTTTTTTCGCAGTATGGACCGAGCCTTTTAACTGACTTAGAAAACATGCAAGCATGTTTAACAGGGTTGGTAGATTATTATTAACATAACATTTGTTTTTAATGTTTAAAACAATTGAAGGGCCGCCAATAACAATGTTTGGCTTACTTATTCAGTAACTTATCAATTTTCGACGCATACGAAAGGTGCCTACAGTTTAGGTGGGATTCCGCTATGGAACGATTTTTAATTACAGAGTGCTAACTTGGAGGTGAAATTTTGAGTTCGAAGAACGTTTCTTTAGATGTTACAATCATGAGGGAAGAAATATTCATGCATGATAATTGCAAGTAACATACTATATTTACGGTTACCACCCAATCTTGCTTGAAATTCATACATCCTGCACACCTTATGTCGGACGCGTAGTCAGCTAGACGCTCTGTCTCGGATTGTTTTCGAGCCGCTAATTGCTGTCGCCAAAGCCAAACAGATGCTGGGTTGATAAATTGATCCTTGAGCGCATTAACGAGATCTTCGTATATATTCCTTTCCTGATAAATGTCTTTGGCAGAATCATTGGTAAAACAATCGCTGCCCTTTTCAGGCAGATTAAGAAAGGACAAGGAACATGACTTTTACAAGTCTTCGCAAGGTGCAAAAGGGCAGCCGTACACACGATTAGCCAGCTTTTTGTTAAAAAAAATACGGTAAACGTTCAAATAACCTACAAAAATGGAAAAATACGTGACCATTTGCCCATTTTTAACTAGTATTGTATCTCTGCTGGTAAAAACTGTGATTCAGAGCAACAGGATGTGAAACAAATTACATAGCTGGCTTAATTACTTTACATACATGTATACATGAGTGGATTTTATCTGAATTTCAAGATGGCAAGTCTGGAATTTATTTAATCGTTATTTTTGTTGTATACTTTTATAGGCCATAGGATGAGCATTGAAAAGATGCAATTCCGTTGCACCCCTCGTAGAACTACGTAATTTTTACATGAATCAATAGATAAAAACTTACTTTATCAGAATCCGTTGCTCCCCAAGTGAAACAGGTGCACAATTGGGAAAAAAATCCCTCCAAAGTTTGTTATTTTGGCGCTTTGAAATATTCAAACCGCCATTGTTTTAGTAGAAAATACGCATGCTCATGTCAGCCAAAGTCGCACTGCGCATGCGCAAACTAGAGAAATGGATTTTCCCTGTGCGTTTTCCCCGATTTCCCGTGTGAAAACAACAAAATAAAATCAAGGAATAAAGATCAAACCTAATAATATTAACGAATAAATACACACACATCAAATATTGTTTAAAATACATTGTACATTTTGCTTGCTCATATGCTAAATCACTTCAATTCATTAGCTATTGTTTCAAAATACCGTTTTACATTAACATCTTAATTCATTAAAAATTGACAAATTGTGTCAGGTAAAAAACCTACCTGTATCAAACAGGACGGAGAATATATAAATATACATACAACTCACACAATCAAGGGACAAGTTAAATATTTCGCTTAACTATAGCCTTCACATCACTAACAAAGCCTGGAGGAATAGCAGAATCCTTGGATATATTCATCTGTGCAAGGGCAGTCTCATGGCACAATACAAATGAGTGTGACATGCAATGTCCAAAGCCACTCAATAGAAAAATTACCGAGGCTGAACCTGTCAGTTGTCTAAGTGTCATGGCAAGGGCTATGCTCTTGGGCGTAGGATTCCTTCCCCCAGATGCTAAATTCACAAGGTCTTGTACAATTGATGTTAGTTTGGCACTGTCCTTGCCCTCAATTGGCATGTACTCACTTAAAGTTGGCTCTGAAGAGCATCCACAAATCCAAGCCAATACATTAAAAAGTTCACATGGAACCACTTTTTGCACATTATCCATTGTCAAATCAGATGCCAATGTTGGCTAAGGAAGATTTAGTTTTGGTATTTCTTGGACCTTTTGGCAAAGAATCAATGCAGCATTGTATAGAATTTGTAACTCATTGACTTTAGAATTTCCCTCAGTTTCTGTGTTGGAATTCAGATCATCATCATCAATGGTATAGCTTTCTTCATCAAAGTCTTCATAGTTGTTTTCTGACTTGTTTGACATATGTTCCTCAACCAATTTGGAAGAATCCAAATTTTCCACATTTACATGCATCTCCCTAACATTTCTCATTTTCGGTACATAGAACACAAAAGTTGAGGATAACTTTTCATCAGTCTTTATTTGGATGAAGCTCTATATTTGGATGCATCATGCATCCACATTCTCTGTGTCCTTAGCAATGATAACAAATTTCTCCAGCAAATCTTTCATATACTTATTTGCTTATTTGCAATGACGTCAGTCTCGATTACTTTCTTACAAGAGACATCATAAGACTTCCTGTACACTGATGTAGATCTTTCAGTCTCCAATTGCTTTTTTTGCCTCTCTGGTGAGTTTTCTTTTTATAATTGTAGTAACAAACTTTATGATAAAGGACTTCCAGTGCTACACAGTCTTTCTTCCGGATTTGCAAGAGTATCCGTTCATCATTCCTTTTCTCGGCAGCTGTACGTAGAAGACCAGCATCAATGGTTTCTGCCAACATGAGTGGAGTTCTTCTTCTCTTTTAGTTACCTGGTGTGAACAAGATATTTTAAAACCAAACCCGAGAATGTTGTGCTACTAGTGCACATTGCACTAGTATAATTATATCAATCAAAATGACCATACCTTGTCTAGTGAGAACCAAGAGGCGTCTCTTCCACAAACAATACATATCTCTGGAAGTACGTGCTCGTTTCTTTTAAGCAGGGTTTTATTAACATCTGCGACTGATTGGCGTGTAATTTTTCGCCTTGGTTACATTGGTTCCACTTCTACATGTAGTTCTTCGGTAGAAGTTACAGTTTTAGAGCTATGTTCTTTTCGCTGTTGTCTACGGATCTTCTCTTCATCACAAAATCTCTTCCAGCATTTCATATGATAGTACCATTCTAAGTTAATGCTGTCAGGGTTCTTTTCCATGTATGAATTGACAGATCCGTCATCGATGTTCGCGTACGATTTCTTACCTATTTCAGCTTGTTGACATTTAAGTTTGGCCCATTTAGACCTACACTCAAGAAATTTCTTAAGCCTTTGGCGTGTAACTTTGCAAAGTTGCTCCGTAACGCCATCAAAATGAGTAAAACATGAGGATATTCGAGTTTTATAAATATCTTCAGCCATTATTGCTTTGCATAACTAAGCGTGTTTCCACTTCGAAGCATGTGCGTGCTTATGCGCGTGCGCAGTTTGAGTTTGCCTGACAAGCGCATGCCGCATGCGTATTTGCTACTAAAACAATGGCGGTTCGAATATTTCGAAACGCGAAATTAGCAAACTTTCGAGGAATTGCTTTCCCAATTGTGCACCTGTTTCGCTTGGGGAACAACGGATTCTGATAAAGTAAATTTTTATCTATTGATTCATGTGAAAATTATGTAGTTCCACGAGGGGTGCAACGGAATCCGTTTTCTAAGCATCTTTTGGATGTTCATCCCACGGCCTATTAGTGTCCGATATTCTATTTTATGTAATAATACTAATACATTTAACATATATCTTTGTAGCCTGGCTTAGAAGACTCTGATTTTAAATTTTGACTGATTTTAAAGATTCATAATCCTCATTTTTTTATTACATGGTCGAAAATGAAGCAGAATATGCACCATTCCACAAACACAGTTACAGTAGTCCTAAAGACACAACATTTG